GCCACTTCCTGCCCTCCCCCCCCCCCCCCCCCCCACCAACATATTATTCTAACACCCTCCATCATCCTGAAAGCAAAGAGGGGAAACCCACAAACAAGGGGAGGGATGTCAAAGGGGTAGGAAGAAGGACACTGCAGAAGTTCGGCGCAGAAGCCCTCACCTCAAGAAATGGCCGATTCGCGGGATCGCTGAGAGTGCGAAGTGGACCGTCGTCAACCGTGAATCCGTTCCTCCAAAACGTGATTGTATGCATTACAGGTTCCGGAGGCTGACGAGGATCAGCCCTCGGTTGCTCTGGCCGTGGGTCGCCTGTCAACGTCCGACCGACGCCTGCAAAAGATCTTCTCCCTGCATTCGTCGGCCGTTGCTGCACATGCAAGCAGAGCAAACACGATGCGAACACACGAGCACAGAGGAATTAACATCCATGGGAACAAGCGGAATAACCAACACAACGTCGAGGATCAACTGAAACAGCTGAATGAACCACAGTCGGTAGAAGAGAATTGTCAAAGAAGTGGACCAAACACGACGTGAACACACAGGCATGCTGTTGCTGCACATGCAAGCAGAGCAAACACGACGTGAACACACAGGCATGCCGTTGCTGCACATGCAAGCAGAGCAAACACTACGCGAACACACAGGCATGCCGTTGCTGCACATGCAAGCAGAGCAAACACGACGCAAACACACAGGCATGCCGTTGCTGCACATGCAAGCAGAGCAAACACGACGCAAACACAGGCATGCCGTTGCTGCACATGCAAGCAGAGCAACACGACGCAAACACACAGGCATATAATAAAGGAATTGGCATCCACAAGTATCGAGAATATAACTGAAACGGCTGCACGAACGGAAGTCAGGCACAGCAAGCCATAGTGATCGAGGTGCAAAATTTCCGGAGTGGAGGCGAAGCATTTTCTGCAAGGCTGGGGTCGTGTTGTGGCCATTTAAAGAACCAAATTCAGAACACAGGAGACAGGTGAATGAATGAATGCCTCTGTGTGTTGTGTTAAAAGACCCCAGATTCTCTCTCTCATTCCCTTCAGAAATCATCACAAGCCATCCATAACGAATAAGTATGGATAGGCAATATAAATTATATAATAGAAAAAATGCAAGGTTGGCCAAGTTTGTGTGGCACTGTGTGTGTGTGTGTGTGTGAGTGTGTGTTTGTGTGTGTGTGTGTGTGTGTGTGTGTGTGTGTGTGTGCGTATGAGTGTGTGAGTGTGTGTCGTCATATTCGCTATACACGACACCAGCATATCAGCTACACCTTCCTCCTTCCATCCTCTCTCTCTCTCTCTCTCTCTCTCTCTCTCTCTCTCTCTCTCTCTCTCTCAATGGCAACACCTCCCTCCTTCCATCCTCTCTCTCTCTCTCTCTCTCGACACACACAGAAACTTCTCAGCGCTACGGAAGTCACTGCGGCTGCTGAAAGAGACCAAGCATGGCCCACCAACACTTAAGACCAATGGTCGACGTTATAAATGTTGGCACAGCCTCACGTTTTAACAGTCGGTTACCGCCAATGGAAGAGAAGGAAGAAGAAGGTTCATGGAAGAAAAGGACACTTGTATGAACCTTCTTCTTCCGTCTGACAGCAGTTCGTCGACGAATCAGTTTGGCACAGCCTCACGTTTCAAGTCTTCTTCTCTCCCTTTTCGCCTTTTTTTTTTTTTTTGACAAATCATGAACTTACTCTGCCTACGGTTCATCGGCGGGTAGGACGAACTGACAATTCCAAAAAAAAAAAAAAAAAAAAAGGGGTAGGAGACTCTGCAGATTGTAGAGGGTTCAGCCTCCTGATAAGTAAATAGGTGAAACTCCGACGAAGCAGCATATACGTAACAGTCATGATGAGGGTGTGTTGTGTTCGAGAGAAGCGGGAAGAAAGGACATGCCACCACGTCCGCCCCCCCCCATCGACTCACCGGCATATCGGCGGCTTCGAGCGCGCCGAGCTGACGTGCTCGATTGAAAATGGAGTCCACGCTATCGCGATTGGTCGGATCCTGTACCATCATACCACTGCGCGCCAAGCACGTGGAATAGCCAACAGCCAATCAACAAAACGAGAAGGCGGGCAGACAGGTCAGCAACCATCGACGCGCATCAAGAGGGGAAAAGAGGGGGAAGAGGGGGCGGGGGCGGG